ACCGTTTGCATTGCACTTATAGTGCTTAGGACCCAGGGTTGCTGAATAGACTAGAAACTTGACTTTTGTCTAATTAAATGTATTTTATAGTGGAAAGTTTGATATGATGCACAGAGCTGGGGTTAAAAACACGCAGGGCAGAGCAGGACTGCTTAGTTTGGTTCAGCTGAACGATGCAAACTGGCTTCCAGCAGAACTGGTGCTGTTGGCTGAATAACAGAGTAATCTGTGCTGTTTAGAGATAAATAATAATACGTGGTACTGAACTCCATTGACAAATGAATCATTTAATGATGGAGATTATATAAACATGCATGTTGAAAAAAAGCCTTGAGAAGTAAAGCTCCCTTCAGTCGATAACAGGACAGTTTTGTAAACCACTTAAAGCTGTGATAAAATCCTACTTGACTGGCCCACGAGCAGATGTGACAAGTTGAATTTATTTCCTCTCTTACCAGGAAGCTTTGCAGGAAACTCTTAACATATGGTGCTTTTCACTTCCATCTAGAGCTATAAATGTTATTGGAAAAGGATGTTCCCAGGAGCAGCAAGTTTCTGACGTTTCTGCCAAATGGACTCCAAATGATCCTTCTGTGGTTCTGAATTCCCCAAGTTCTTAGGAGCTGGCAGCCAAGAATCTCTGATCTAAACACAACTCACTAATTTAATTATTTTATTATAGATCTGTAGAAGGCTCTTGCAGACCAGTGACTTTGCATCTGTATTGGATCTAGCTAGGCAGGAAGCACGAGTTAGAGGAGTATAAATATTTTGTTTCTTAACTGCTTTTTGCTTGAAAACTTGGAAACCATTTCACACACAAATCAGTCACACAAGTGTGAATGCAGGGGAACGGGAAATAGGGATAAAAGTAACATCAACTTGTATTTGGTTCATATTTTGAATGTTTGTGTTTCCTAGGAAGACCAAGTAGCCTGTGCCTGGCAGGTAGAAGTAGTAATGAACATCATAGCAAAACATTGTACAGCTGCACTCAAGCTGTCCCCTTGCCCTCAGGATAAATTAAGTACTTTTGTGGAGAGTAAGTAATTGAATCTTTTTTTATCTGGTTTATAATACACAAGTTCAGAAGAAGCAGTGAAGTGTATGTTTTTGCTTAATGTGGTTCTGGAATATTTCACTTTAAGAAATTAAATGGCTAAATTTTGCAACTTTTCTTTAAGAACATTAGCAAAATACAAAACCAAAATAACATTTATTCTAAGATCATGAACTTACATTGCAGGAGAGTTTCGTTTGTAGGTTCAGGTGGAGGATTGAAAGAGAAGGGAGAGGGTCATGTTTCAGGCAGGACCTGCTTTGGAATGGCTTTAAAAAGAGGAGGAATATGAGCTGGAGCTGGTTAATCAGGACAGTGTGAACAAGCCCCCCATTCCCAGAGCCTGGGCGTGCCTGGGGCAGTGTTTGGTGGGACCTGCAGTGAGTCCTCAGGCTCTGGGGGGTCACCAGGGGGTTTTTTGTCAGTCAGCTCAGCTGTGAATAAAAATTTAGGCAGAGGCTGATGCTGACAGGAAGGTTTGGAGTTCCCTGGACATGGGCACTTTGCCATGAAAGCAGAAGGATAAAGGTGTTTCTGTCTGACACAGATCCAGTGTTTGATGAAAGAAAGGATATAGATTTAAAATGCAGCTTAGGCTGGGGTGTGACAGTGGGATTTAGCTTTCCTCCACCCCCCAAAATGGGAGTTTGCACTGGATGAGCTGGGGGAAGGGGATTACATCCAGGGAATTCCTCTGCCTCTGTGATCCACGAGCTTTTGTTTATGGGAGTGTGTAGGGGAGAAAAAATTAGCGGATCAAACTGCCAAAGAACTTCGTTTTTCAAACAAAATAAGAAATAGAAGTCCTTGCACCAAAGAAAGGTGATTTATCTGATATCACAAGGCTTGGGATGGGTCCAAGTATTATATTTCTAGTTCATGAAGGATGGAAAGCAAAAATGGTAATGAGCAGTGTTGCTGAAATTTCTGCTGGTGTTCTATAGACCAGGAAGAATTGGAAGTGCTGAAAGGCAGCATATAAAATAGGACATGAACAGGAGTGATAAAACACTGAAATCAGGGATTGAAAGCTGAATGTGAGTGGTTAGAACAACATTAAAAAAAACCAAACCAAAACTCCAAGGAATCATCATGAGAAAGGGGAATTCTACCCATGCACACTGGAAAAATCAGTACATTGTGTTGCTGAAGAGAAGAACTATCCTAAGGGGGGAGAACTGGGTGAGAATCTAAGACCATATAAAAGTGGTAAAAAAATTCACAGTCATGCTCTTTAGGAAGTTTGTTCTTCTCCTCCTTGGAAGTGCCAACCTCGTTAACAGTGATGGAAAAACACAGAGAAAACATTTACCCTTCCAGGACTGGATTCTGGCAGGACACTGCTAATTCAGCTGTGGTACTTCATCTCGCCCTTCTGATTTGGAAAAGATCTCCATTGATTATGTAAATTGGAAGTGAATATTCTGCAAGCAGGTTATGGCATCTCCCTTTGAAGTGCCTGAGCTGCAGAGGGAGAGTGAGCCCAGGCCATGCTCGTGCCCACCCCGAGTCCAGCCTGCAGCATCCAATGGAAAAAGATTCATCCCAGCACTTCCTGAGTGCCTGTGTGCCTGGACCCCACCCAGCAGCACTAGTTCTGGTTCTGGACCCCACCCAGCAGCACTAGTTCTGGTTCTGGACCCCACCCAGCAGCACTAGTTCTGGTTCTGGACCCCACCCAGCAGCACTAGTTCTGGTTCTGGACCTCACCCAGCAGCACTAGTTCTTACTCTGCTTGCTGTGCTGAGGGGAAACTGAGTCCAGTTGAGTCCTCACTGCCCAAGCCAGACCCACATTGTTGTTAACTAAGTGTAGCACAGCTATAGTAGCATGAATTGTAATATATCACCTTAATTTGTACCTTGTGTGGCTGGTGCCAGACTTGTGTACTGAGGCATCGACAGCACCTGATACCTCTGAGCTAAAGATTATTTTGTCAATTCATAAATGGTACTGAACATTTGCTATCGTGTTTTACAGCTTCAAAACATATGACATAATAATATTCCTTAACAATTTAACTGTCCTAAATATCTGTAGCTAAGCACTTGATTTCATCTCAGTGAGTTCCTGGGTGTTAAATAAACACTACCTCAAGAGAAAATGATTATTTTGTTTTCATTTTCATCAGTGCAACCTCACTGAATTCACTGCAGTGCATCTAAAAATACAATTTGGACAGTAATTTAGCAAATTTTCTTATGTAGTAGAGCTGTTAAATCTCAGTAAAAATATTTTAGTAATCAATTGCTATTTAATTAACATGCAATTTCTGTCCTAGTAAATCTAAATTAAATCCCCATTTTAGACACAATTCAAAGTGTGAATTAACATTCTCTATTGATAAGTAGTATTATAATAGGCTTTCAATCCTGAGTTGAAGAAAAAAATCGATTGTAACATTAAGTTTGATTCAGTATAAAATTAATCACAAATATCTAGTGCACTGTAAGTTCCTCCTTGCACCTTCTCTTGGTGCATGTCTCTGTTCTTGGTCAGACCATCACGGTAAAGGGACAGATTGCATTTCCCCTTGCAGGCTTTCACCAGAAGGACTGCAGGGCCTCCTCTTTCCCTTCCAAAGGCAGTCATGCTGGAGAAGAGATGAAGTAACAGAGTGGACAGGTTCACGTGGCAGAGCCTGAACTTTGGGCTGCTGTGGGCAGATGTTCCAGGAGGACTCTCCCACCTCAGCCCTGCTGTGCAGGGAGCAAAGGACATCTCAGGGGATTGGGGAAGGAAGGAAGGAAGAGGCAAAGCTGTGAGAAAATGAAGTGCATTTGGGCAGACAGAAAAGAGAGATGTGTGAAAGGCACAACAATAATTAAGGACTGGGCAGACATTAGAGTCTTTTTAGAACCAAGGGCCAGGCTGGACGTGCCCAGAGGGAGGTGGGGGTTGGATGTGCAGTGGGAAGGCAGAGGCCCATGTGTTACCCCACTGATGGGCTCCTTGGTTCCAAGGAGCTCCCTGACCACGAGCACTGTGCCCTCTCCATCCCCTGGGTTCCAGCCAAAGTCTGAGTGATGTTGAGGGGTCCCATACTTCAACTGTAGCCAATCCCCTCTGCTAAATCCACCTGTCATGGGGATGTCTCAGCAGGACTGGCCTCGTTCCTCTGTCACTGATGGGAGCAAATCCAGTCGAAGCAAACTGGAGCCAATTGGTGTTTCCTTGTGCAGTGGCAGGAGAATTAACTCATTGTCACTAAGGATATATCAGGACTTCCTATTAATGTCAGTTTTCAGTTTTATAACATTTTGTTAAAAGTTCCCTGGGGCTGTATTTGCTATACAGATTTTCAGAGAAGGAAGACATATTTTATATTAAGAGCTCATTTGGTTTATTGTTAGAGGATGCTTGTGTTCAGAACTTACGTGGATATTACTTTCAACAAGTAAAGACATTGTCTCCTTTATTGTAGCTACTAGTCTGCAAATGAACAGTTCATCCAAATTTTCATTGAATAGTTTTATTGGGGTTTGGACCAATTTAGCCAGAATTAGTACTTCTTTGCTAAGCTCAATACTTGGCAGTATAGTCATGACTTAGATTTTATAATAGATGACTCTTTTAATATTACATGCTCTGTATTAATACCAAACTTCCATGTTTTGCTAGAAAAGGACTATATTTTGCCATCGGGTTTGAACATGCAACTTTTGCTAATTTAAATAAAGGTCAAAAGGACAATTTCAAGCCTTATAATAGATTTTCATTTGCCATTTTTCTCTTTATTATTCTAAGTGGATCTTTAAATGTCCTAACTAGTTTTATAAGTTTGAAGATATATTACTTTGCACCAGTTCTACTTTGGTTTTTGGTTTTTATATCTATTTTCATTGCTGTCATTATTACTATTTCTCACACTGTTTATTTATGGTGTCATTTTAGCTTAAGGCCAGTTGAGGTGTGATTGTTCTGCCTTAAGCACCATTTTTCCCTGTGGCATGGAGATGAACACAGTGAACAGTGGAAGCTGCAGATTGTTGTTGCTGACATTCTGTTTATCAACAATAGAAATAAGCTTATGGCTCCTCTCAAGGTGAGCTCTTCCAGATGTTTTTCTCCTCTCAGACTTGCTGATGTAAATCAGAGGTAATACTATTTATTCCAGTTAAATATGGTGTTTCTCAATGAGGAGACCCTCCTGGTGACTTGTGCCATGTTGCTGGTCACACAGAAATATAATTGCTAAAAGTGCTCCCCTTTGCCTACAATTTTGCCATAGTTTTGTGTAGTCAGTGTTTCCCAGAGTCCTGCTGTTCCCAGGGAAGCAGGAACCCCAGCCAAGAGGGAAAACAAAGCACTGCTGTTTATTGTCTTTGCAGCTTTCTCTTGTGTGCTTTAGAGGCAGTCCATAGGTCAGGATACCTTTGGTATCAAAAAAGGAGTGGAATTGGAGTCTGTTTCATGTGTTTACACGTGGAAGGCCATCAGCTCAGTCTTATAGTTATACCACAAAGTTCTCCTTGTCTCCTGCTTGCAGCAAGAGTCCTCCAGCTTTCAGAGGCTGACTCTCCATTTTCTGTGGCTTCACCATGGTTTGATCACATTCTTTTGGAAATTGGAAGATCTGTTGAAGAGAATCCAAAATGGTGTTGCAGCCAATATGAAACTGGGGGTCCTGGTGGACCCCAAGCTGACCATTAGCCATCACCATGCTCTTGTGGCAAAGGCTGACAAGCTCCTGGGCTGCATCAGGCAGCACCTTCCAGGATGGCAGGGCAGGTGATCCTTGCCCTCTGCTCAGTGTCGGTGGGATATCTGGAGAGCCGTGTCCAGCTCTGCCTCTCAGTACAGGGGAGCTGTGGACGCACTGGGGAGAGCTCAGCACGGGGCTGGGAAGGTGATTTACAGTCTGGCACGTGTGCCATATGGGGAGAGCCTGACAGAGCTGGGGTTGCTCAGCCTGGAGAGAGAAGGCCTGGGGGGCCTCATGGATGTGTACAAATATCTGATGGGGGTCAGTGAAGACAAGGAAGCCCAGCTCTGCTCAGCAGTGCCTGGTGAAAACACAAGGAGCAATGGGCACAACCTTACAAGGGCAAGGAGAACCTTCCTGGCTGTGAGGGTGATCAAACTCTGGAGCAGGTTGCCCAGAGGGGTAATGGGAGACTCCATCCTTGAGCGTATGAAGAACTGGAGTGGACATAGCCCTGAGCAACCAGTTCTGAGCAGCAGGGCTGGACAAGGTGATGTTCAGGTGCCTCTGTGGACCTCAGTGATTCTGTGAATCCCTCACCCACACCCCTACTTACCAGATCCTAATATCCATTCAAATCTTGCTGCCACAAAGTCTCTCACCATGAGAATAAATGGTCTCCAGGCAGTGCAGTGCTCAGCCCCCTGTCCTGGTCAGTCAGAGAGACACCTGTGTGTGATGGAGATGCTTGGAAATTGTAAAGGCATGAGTTAAATGTTCTCCTCCCTCATACTTCTGCTGAGAGTTTTGTGGCTCTGCAGTTTTTGTTTGGTTACTTTTGCTTAACTCCATATAACTTGTGGGATGGTTTTGTTTGCTATTTTTTTCTGTAAATGACTGTGATTCTGTAGCTTTCTTGAAAGCACTTCATTTGCTAGCATCTGATTCGCAATATAGAAGTTGTTTGTTAGTTTTGACCAGGCACAGAGACAATACACAAAATATTTCAATTTATTTAGTTGAATAAGCAGAATCTTGAAAAATAGATCTTTTATTTCCAGTGCAAATACTTGTCTTCATAAATTCAGGATTTGCTCCACGAGAGTTTGCAGATACATCTTTTAAATTCACAAACATCCGTCCTCCTAGACCTGTTTGTTAAAATATTAAGATGGTGACAAACAGAAAGAAGTTTAAGCCTACTAATTTAAAGATATGAAATAATTTTTCCAGACCCGTTTCTTCATTATTTGCTCAGTTCTAATTTGACCTCTTTACCACCAAGACGTGAGCCAGACCCCTAACTCATTTTAAATAAATTACTGAACAAATGATAATGACTTTTGGTCATTATCAGCATGGGCTAAATTCATGCTGGTTTTCATCAGATGAAAGGCTGTGTCACACTCCGATTCCCTTGAGCCATCCAGTCCCTCAGCTATCAGCAGCACTTTAATTTTCTCTTAGAGACAGTATAATGTGAGCACTCAGCCTGGTTCACTCAGAAAATGTGTAATTTTTCATACTTTCAAACACAGATGTTCTACCAAGTTTCATCCAGAGAGGCTAAATCTACATTTTAAAGCAAGGACACCCTAGATGTTACTTTTGAAATAACATACAACATGGTACAAAGAAATAAATGAATATAATTGTATAACAAAAGTTATAAATCAGACCCAGGAGACAAGAATAACAAAATAAAAGTGAAAAATTCACCTTTTAATTACAGTGGTGAAGCCTCTGAGATTGTGAAAACATTCATTTGTATAATTCTGATGTATACTGTCCTTGCAGGAGAATTTGCAAAACATCTCTCTTGAATATAATCTTGCAGATGAGAAAAAGTTCTTTTTTTTTTTTTTTTTTAATTCTCAAAAATTATATCATTCTAAGAAAACACTTACTGGCATGACAATATTTTATCCACTGAAATCACAACCAGGCCTTTAAAGAAAAACATTTCACAAGAAATACTTTCTTTTAAATCTCAACCTTAAATCTTTCTGTTAATTTATTTTTTTTTTCCTTATTAGAGCATAATAGTTTTTTCCTTTCCTAGATTTAGCATATTATTATTATCACACCACAGACCTTCTGGATGTGTGCTCCTAGTCTCCAGGACATCAGAAAAATTTGAATTTTTCCTGAAGATGAGTGAACTGTTGATATTTTTGTGCCCCTGGAGCGTGGCAGAGCAGGACATGCCGAGCTGGTGGTGTGGGAGCTGCCAGGGAAGCCAAGGCAGGGACAGGTTCCCAGGGCCCATGTATGTCCCCTGCAGCCCATGGGGACAAACAGCTCCCACAGCCTGACATGCAGGGTTTGTGAATTTAAAAGATGTATCTCCAAACTCTTGTGGAAAGCAAATCCTGAATTTATGAAGACAAATAAAAGATCTGTTTTTCAGGATTCTGCTTATTCAACTAAATAAATTGAAATATTTTGTGTATAGTCTCTGTGCCTGGTCAAAACTAACAAACAACTTCTATATTGTGAATCAGATGCTAACAAATGAGAACTTTAGTAAAGCCATAGGGGTCAAACCTGAACTGAGAATATCTGGGACTCCTCCTGCAGGCTCAGAGGAACAGGCCCATGGACAGGGAGCTCCCACCTGCCCGGGGGCTGTGTTGGAACCTCACACACCTCGCTGGGTGATGGAGACAGAGACTCGATGGGCAGGTTTGGCTCTTTAGCTTCGGGTTTGGTCTCCTCACTATTCTACAGAATGTCACTGCTAAACTTGTCACAGTTCTTTGTAGATACATGTCTGAAACGTTGCCAGCACTTACAAAGAGATTAATCTCTCCTTCCTCTCTGCAGGAGTTTTCTTGAGGAAAACATTTAACATATTTGCTCTTCTTTCAAGTAGATTTTGTCTTGCCCTATATAGAAATATCATGAGACGTCAACAAAGGGTATCTATATGCTATATAACAAACACATATCAGTTTAATATTGGCTTGTGAACATCTGACACTTCAGAAGTAGTGGAACTGTGATTCAGTTTCTCAAAAGAAAATGATACAAGGTAGCAGGCCCTAATATATTCTTCAGTGAGGAAATACCTGCAGGCAAGGATAACACACGCATTGTCACGTAAATCCTGCCACCTTTGCTCGGGGAGCTGGCTTTGCACACTCCTCTCAGGAGCTCAGGGGGAAGAGGAAGCGAAAGTTTGATGCAGCCCAGAAAATCCAGTGGGTTCTTGCTTTAACCTTTCATTTCTCCTACACATCTTCATGGCACTCTGGATGCCACCTTCCTCCCAAACAGTGTCTGTCTCTGGCCAGCCTGGTTGCCAGAAGAGCCCTGGTGTCTAATGCAGAGCAGAGTCTGGCCTGGGGACAGCTGGTCCAGCACACCCGTGGTGTCAGAGCCTCGCCAAGCTGGCTGGGACTGTGTCTCTGTGAGCACAGGAACAAGGGCCTGGTGGGATATGTGGGGAAGCAGCTGATGCTGTAGGATGTTAACGGTGTTTTAAAGCTAGAATCACAAGCTCCTGAGCTACTTTGGTCCTACAAAACCCACAGGGAAGCTTCTGTGAGGGTTTTGGGTAGGATGGGATGGAAGAACCTGAAAATTAAGAAAATCTAGAGGTCAAAATTACTTCTGATGAATGTCATGCCAGATGAATATGTAAAAAATACGTCTAGTTACTCTTTCCCTACTTTGTACATTACTTCTGTACTGAACTTGACTGCAGTCTGTCATTATGGACAGAAATGTGCCTTATATCGTTTGAAAAATGAGGCTGATGATGAAGCATAAAGCCTTCTGTTGCTTACAGCAACAGTTATTGGTGATGCCTTTTCAGAATCCTTTTAGGATACTTTGGCTGTGGGTTGAAGTAATAACTGAGGGGAAAAATATCAGAGCATTCAGTCAGACGGGGTATAATATTTTTTCTCATTGAATTTAAATGGGAAATAAAAGAGATCAAACATTTCTGGTAAGATTTTTACTCCATAGTCACTGCTGTAACTTCATTGGCTTCATCAAGGCAGCATCCTGTATCTTCCATATTTGCTTAAATACCTGTGAAGTCAATCAGACAGAAAGGGTGGGCTGCTAATTAAAAAAAATAAGGTGTTGTAAACCTCCTTTAAGAAAATGAAAATTGGAAATACGTTATGGACTAATTTCACTTTGTAGCACCACAATTTTCAGTTTTAACTTCAGATTTTCCAGTTGCTTTCAAAATATGTGAAAAAAAAAGTCAGTTTGTAACTTCTCCAGTGTTTCTTTCATAGTTAAAACTATTGAGTTGTATGACAAATGTACACTGAATATAGGAAGGGAGATTATCTCTTCTTTAGTATCTAATTGTCTTATTATTACTATTCTTTTCTTGTCTACAAATGCAGAAAATTTTAGGATTTGTTTTAAGTAAACGACATTATTTAAATTCATAAATTTGCTTAAGCCTCAGTGGGTTACTCTGGCTTGTAAGGCTATTACTTTCCCAGTTGCAAGCAATAATGATACTGCAAAGATATTCCATTGGAGAAAATATTTAAATAAACGCTCTTCATCCAAAAATGAGATGCAGCATATTTACATTTTTATTTGATGAAGCCTGTTCCTGCTATCTTTGTTCTTAATTTGGTCTCTAAAGAATTAGTAGTAAGAGGAAAAATAGTCTGTAAATATGTATGAAATCAAATTTAGAGGGTAGGCTAAAAGGTATTGACTGCCAGCAGTGCTGAACAGCAGGAGGCAAAATTTCCTCCATAGTTTTCTTCTTGGCTGGAAACACATTGCCTTCCATCTAGATTATTTAATCCTCCAAATGCACATCAAAGCTTCTCATCGGGTGGTGCGTGTCTTTACAGGCAGCTGAATGTCAAAGATCTAGCTTAAAGATTTTTTGAGAAATGTAAAACATAATAGATCCCAGATAATAACCCAGCAGTGGAGCTCCTGGGCGAGTCCTTCCAGCCAAGTATTGGTACCACAGGTTGGAGTTAATCTTTGTGGCAAAAGGAGGAACAAATCTTCTACGTGAGGATTTGTGACATCCTTCCAAGAGATGGAAATAAAGCGATCCAGTCATGTTACTGGACTAATATTGGCTTGTTAACAATTCCCATCTCTCTTTACACTTGTGCCTTGCCAGAACAATGGGCTGTGAGTTATCTCACTCCTCCAGCCCAATTAGGCACTGGAAGAATGGATGCAAAATATGCATGAAACATTTTCCGCTCGAATATTCCTAACAGGATGCAGCTTCAGCACTGTCCCTCTGATTCAATTCAGTCTTTGGCAAGAGCTTATTCCTTCTAAGGATTGCATCAATTCTCATGAATGATTATCTCATTCTTAGGGAGTATCTTAAAAACCTTTTTAACAATTTTGGTTTCTGTTTCTGAGCTTGAATTTTGCTCTGACATGAGTATATAGAATAGCCAGGCATTGGTGAGGAGTCCCACAAGGAGACTTTGCAGGAACGTGGAGCCTAAGAGTGTTTTGCATAAAAATAAAAAGAAAAGGGGCAGAAATAAAAAAGGAAGGAGGAATTAAAAAACCCACCCCTCTTCATTCTGCAGTGTAGATTTCATGTTCTTCTTTTTTGCATTAAACTTTCCTTCATTTTTTTTTGTTTAAGTACCACTGATACAATATTTCCTATAGATGGCTCAGCTGTGACACAGAAATAAGGCTGATTACTCAGGGGTTTCATTTCACATCTGTTTAAGACAGCCTTATTTTTTAAATCCTGAGTAGTCTTGTTCCCATCTCTATCCATGACCTTCCCTTTCTTTTTTCTTCTGTTATGCTCTCCTTGTAGTCCCTTTCCTTTCAAGCAGCCTTCTCTCTGGTGGTGTGAAGCTCTGGTTGTGCTGCCTGGGCTGGCTGCAGAGGAGCCTGGCTGTGTGCTGGGGCTCAGGGCTTGCCAGTCTGTGCCCAGGGGGTGATGCTCTCAAGGGGGGGCTTTACTTCTGCCTTTGCTTCTCTCCTGGTAGGCAAAGGAACCAGCATTTGCTCTGCTTTCCGAGTGCAGAGCAGCCAAACATCGCCCTCAGTGCCCAACCTTTGACTGGGAGGTGAGAGACACTCAGCAGAGTCGGGGAATGATTTAGTGCAATGTGTGGCCTTTCACTTCTCATTGAAAGCTGGTCTGATGAGATGCAAAGCCACGAGTCCTGTTCAATTCCCTGGCTGATTTAAGGGCTCCTTGTGTCTGGAGAGGTGCTCAGGGCTACTCAGGATGAGACTGTAGCAGGGACATTACTCTGTTGTCAGACCAGTTCAGAAGTGCACAAAATCAGCAGCACTGCCCAGTGAACTCAACAGTCAGCAAATAGTAATCCATCTTGCACGTAATCCTACACTAATTATTTACAATAAGAAGAAGATTTAACATCAAAGAAATGCATCACAGTAGGCATTATGTAATTAACTAAAGATGTATTGCATCCAAGCAATGGGGAACGTGCATTTATCATCTTGAAGCATTACTTTAATTTTTTCAATATTCTTTTAATGTTTTTAGTGGTTTCAACATATTATTTTTTATTATTATTAATTGTTCATTTGACATAAAACCACCATAATACCATCTTTTTTTTTCCTTTTTTAAATGATTTCAGGAAACTCAGCAAAATTTCCAAGAACAAGTATAAATGACTGTAAATGTAATGCTTCTTATATTCACAATCTCTGTTTCTCAGGCTAAGTGTGATTGCTTAATCCTTAAAGTGATTTGTTTAGAAAAGCCTCTTTTTATCCTGTTCACTAAGTGATATCACTAAATACAGAATAAATATAGAGCTTGTAGAAGTTCATGGAAGATTTTTTTGGTGAAAAAATAGCTACAAAATTAAAATTAAAAATCTTTAAAACACAGTAGAAAGGAAGGGGGTTTTCTACTAAAAAACAAATTGATGTTGGGCAAATACACCCCTGAATCTTTTACGTGGCATCCTCTGTGAACAGATTTTATAACAATTCTGTATATTCTGAAGACAGAAACTTGATGTCAGGGCCTTTCATCTCTGGTCAGCAGAGTAGTTTGTCAGGAGAGTTTTCAACTCTAAAAGCATCAGTAGCTCATCAGAGTATTTGTTGGGCTTTTCTGACAAAGGAAGCAGTTGTCTGTCAAGAAGAATGTGAGTTTGCCTTGCCTTGCCCAGGCCCAGGTCCTGCAGTTCCCGGGCTGTTCCCCTCCTTTGGGAGCAGGACTGTCCTCCACACTGCAGTGCTGGCAGCACAGAGCAGCAGGACCTGCAGGGTCCTTCCCGTGGGTGACACCAGGGGGGTGACACCAGCAATGAATGTCTCACACAGACATCACACCGAGGGGGACAGAAGGAAACTTCTTAAATAAGAGTTCACAAATGGTGTTCCTGGTTTGAAATCGAGCTTTTTGAGTCCTGAGATGCTGATGGGTTGGGAAGCCCTATGGAGAGGTGAGGATTGACCCCTGGGGACCCAGCAGATCATAACTGTGCATGGAAATAAACAATCCAGCTGCTTAAGGGTTATAGGAATTTAAATGCAAATAGCACTTGGTAATAATACCCGAGGGACTGATGTTGTAGGCAATTTGTGGAGGATGCAGCACTGTAAACTTAGTTTTTGGTGCTGGTTTCCTTAGAAACTGGAACAAGGTATTATTCAGGACACAAAATAATATCCTGTTTCAGTGGCTGAGGATCTTGAACTAAAAAGTAATTGATTTTGCATGAGACAGTGGATTGTCATGTGCTTTTTCTAGGAACTGTTATGGCACATGTCTGTACGTTGGAATTATTTCTGATCTGCTGCTTTAGTTCCAGTGATCTCACTGTGTAAGTACTGAAACTGTTGAAAACTTTAAAATTAGCTTTTAAACCATTCAGGGGGTCAGTTTTAAGTACTTCGTTAATAATCTAATCACTCCCCAAACATGCCCACTGTTCTGCTTCTTATCAGGAAATAAATCTTCCCGTGTATCTCTGCCATGAAACACCACATTTGATGTGTTTAGCAAGTAAATGTATATAAAGTACATCATAGACATATGAATAATCCTTTTTGGAATATGGGATAAACACAGAAAAAGAGCTAGGGAGAACTGTAAATAGTTATGCCTACAGGGAGGCATTGAGGTTATTTCCAGATTTTTTCCATGAAGTTGCAGAGTACCTGAATGAAGCATTTCTTCAGACTGTCTAGTAAAGTTGTATTAGAGCTGGGCAGTGTTGCTCTCATTTGTGCACCTATTTGAACAGTTAAGTGTGTATATAGGAATGTTTAGAACATGTTCAAATTTGAATGAACAACTCAAATGGGTGTTGGAAACCAGTTCCTTAAAGGTGGGAACAGTGGCTTGCTGAAAATTGAGTCCATGGTAGCCTGGACTGGGCACCTGGAAAATAAACTGAGGTTTTTTTGTAAATAGTGGTCTGGTTTATAAAACTAGTTTTATGGAATACTAGATGCTCTTTCTCCAACTTCAGGTTTGAAAAATGTTCTATTAGTACCTTATGCATTTATTTTATAATTTCAAAAATCTTATCAGAGGTATTGCTAGTGAGCATACATTACTTCCTAGTCAAATTTCTAAAGAGTTATTTCTTAATAGACCGTTCTTAATTTTTTATTTTCTCAAAATATGTGATACATTTTTGTTTTGTCTGTTCTCTGTAAAACAAATACGAGACAGTTATCGCTGGCAAAATGAAATTCCATGCTTCATATAAACCTTTTTATCATTGTGTTTTTGTGAAAATCATTATTTTGTGGATGCTAAAAATAGATGAAAGGTTATTCATAATCAATTTTGCCAAAAAAAGGATTTTATAAAAGGCAATTCCTCAAATTTTCTTTCAATATACTACGGTTTACCGTATATTTATGTGAACACATTTTCATGTCAGCTTGGAACATGTATCTTTCCCCTCTCTCCCTCCAAGCATATGTCACTTTTATCCAAGAAATACTCCTTTTTTTTTTTTTTTAGTTCCAAATGCTCTCTGCACCCAGAAGTTCATTGTCCAACAGTTTTCCTACAAGGACATTGCAGAAGACTCCATAAGGTACAAATATGCTATTATACATTCAGGTGCTGTTCAGGTATTAATGTTATGGCAAAGAAAAGTTGGAGCTTTCATGAATTTAAATATTTTTCATATAAACTATGTAAATATAATGATTAACAATCAGCTACATTCACTATTCAAGACATGCAATGTAGCATTTTTCTAATTACACTTACCAGTGTGGGAGGATATGACTGCAGAGGAAGATTAAACTATTTGTATTTATTCAGTGTTGCTTTATAGCATTAACCAGGAAACTCACTTTTGCAGTGTTGAATGCGGGAATCTGGAATAACCTGAAGAATTCCATTAGGGTGGGAGCAGCCTGAGCCAGGCTCGGGCAGGGATGGCAGGCTCAGCTCATCCTGCATCACAGTCAGTTCAGCTGCCTCTCTCATCTGTGATCTCACTGCTGATAGTGTGATTCAAAACACAGGCGAAATTACTGCTTAATATTATGGCTTTGTCTAAAGCTCTTCAAGTAAACCAAACAAACAGAAAAAGCCCACCTGGCAGGCAGGCTCCTGTTTGCAGGTATTCATGTTTTATTAAAATAAACACGTGGTTTGCAAGCAGTGGAACTAATGAAACCTGGTGTGCCTTAGCTCTGTGTCTAGTGATGGCATTCTGTGCAGGTTTATAAGGCACAACTCAAACTGAAGATTTCCCTGAAATTAGGACATGGATAATGTCCCTTCTGTCCCACGGAATCTCTGGTGCCTGTGGAAAGATGAGCTCATATTTCAGTCTTTCCCAGAGCAGACGTCCTAATTGTGTTGTTTTTTTTTTTTTCCTATTTCTTTTAACAGCAGCCTATTCACACAACATTTAAAGAAGCTAAGGATCTATATAGCTACATCAGATATTGGGAAAATAGGAAAAAAATCGGCAACTTACTGGGGACAGGAAAAATATGTGAACAGAGTCCTTCACCCTGCCTCTGTCTCCTGGTCCACATCAAAAGGCACTGTGGAGTCTGGGTTCCTCAGGACAGGAGGGATATGGACCTGTTGGATGGGTCCTGAGGAGGCCAAAAAGAAAATTAAAGGGATGCAGCACCTCTGCTACGAGGAAAAGGCTGAGAGAGTTGGGGTTGTTCTGCCAGGAGAAGAGAAGGCTCCAGGGAGACCTTCCTGTGGCCTTTCACTGTGGGAAGGGGGCCAGGGAGAAGGACAGCAGGGCCTGCTGGGACAGGACAGGGGGGATGTTGAAACTAAAAGAGCGTTGCTTTGGATCAGACAGAAGGTTGGAGGTTCAGAATGAGGGTGTTAAACAGTAGAAGGGGTTTCCCACAGAGGCAGGGACACCCCACCCCTGCAGACATTTCAGGTGGGGTTGGATGGGGCTCTGAGGGGGAACAGATCTGGTTGAAGATATCCCTGCTCAGAGCAGGGGGATTGCACAGGGTGACCTTTGGGTGTCCCTCCCAACCCAAACTGTGCTGGGATCTGTGCTCCTGAGGCAAGGCTGCAGAGTCCCAGTTAGGCTGCAGAGTCCTAGTTAGGCTGCAGGGATGACCTGAGGAAGGGGTACCAGCTCCTTGTGGGGCCCCCTCCCAGCAATGCCAGAGCTGGGATTGTCCCCCTGTGGTTTTATTTTAATGGCCACAGAGATACTGGAGTTGAGTGGAAGATTTATGATGGCTGATGGGGCTGTGCTTGCTACCAGCTCATTCTGAGGGTTGCTCCACCTTGTCATCCCTGTCATTCCATCCTCTGATGTCAGAGGTGTCAGTCTGGCCCTGGTTGTCTCCACGCTCTTCTCAGGAAAGCTTGGAGAAATCTGGTGCTTGTGATTCATTATGGTCTTGAGAAGCTTTGTGAAACTGTTTTGTTAGATTCTGTAACAGACTGAGATGTTTTAGTTTTTCAAAAAATAAACGTTGGAATGTGGATGTAGTTGTGTAATGGTTCACCTTCATAGGACAAATCATATGTGGTTTCTGCCTGTGGTAGAAAAGGGAAACAGATCCTTCAGTGTATTATTTTGTTGATTTGTAGTGTATATGCACAAATTAACAAGGATGTTTTAGTTCAAATACCCTGATGAACTGTTAGTGTAGTCAGACTGTGTTAAAATAATTCCAAAATTAATGTTTGACGATGTTGACACTTTGGTGATGCTGTGATGTTTACATCACAGCAAACATGACTTTAATCAACTGAGTGCAGTGCTTTGAGAATATTATATTGAATAGGTGGTTTTAAAGGCTAAAGAGTGAGCCCTGGGATCCCCAATACTGGGCATTGTTTGTTAACTGGCCACACTGTGAGTGGGGGGAGATGGTTCCAGTAGGACTTGGTGAGAGTGCTTATAATATAATAATCAAGACTAATAAATATTTATCTAGTTGTTTATTCTAGTCCCTGCTATTTACTATACATAGAAACATAATTTATGTAAAAACTGAAAACAGATTGTATAAGTCTTTCTAGAAGGTCAGTTAATAACAAAGTGCTTTACTACCTGGGCTTTGCTTGGCAGTCAAACACAGATTCAAATGGGAGAAAAAATGTGATGGAGACAGAAGATGGGGGAAAAAATGAGTGTGTTAAGTATTTGTACCCATCTATCTCCTGAAGTTCCACTTTTGCTGTTTAAGAGGAATTGGTTGGTTGTTCTTTGATTTTTAATTTTTTTAAAGCTTTTTTAACTTCTGCTAAAAAAGCTGCCAATGCTTCATTCTGCATTATTTGTTTGGAGTTTGACTTTATTCTAAAAGCAACCTCAGTGTTTTTAGCACTACAAATTCACCAAATGGATTCTCAGAGACATTAGTACAAAAATAAAGAAGAAAGGAAAACAAAGCCAGAAAAAGAATACTACTTGGAAATTATGTAAAACCAATATAGCAAGACTATCAAAGTGCTTTAAAATCTACAGAAATGTAAAAGGCAAAGTATTATGTTTGTGTAGTTTAGCATATTGTTCTCTAGAAGAAGGACTGAACTTGCAATCATTGCATGCAGAACAGATTTCTGCATATTTGAACATCCCTGTTCCCTTGTGATTTACAGTCTTATTCTCTTGCATCTTTTCTTGCATTTAGAGAGTAAGTTTTTTGAGCTGTGGACTTTCTAAACTTAAAATACCAGAGTCCTTTTTAAAAAGTGTGTGTGGTGAGATTTTCCTGCAGTTCCTAAATGCTTCACAGAAGTGTTAATTAGCTGATACTGCCCATTATCCTGCTTGCTAAATGAGGCCCCATCAGAGGGTAACACCAACAGAAATGCTTCCACCCCACAGTGGTGAGAGCAGCTCCTGCCCAGTGCTCGTGTTTGTGTTGGGATGTGTGGTCCTGGACATCTTACACTCACTGTGTCCTGGACTCTGATCATTCAGAGAGCCACCTGCCATCCAGGTGCCACTTGGCTCATAATGTTTAGGGAGGTAAAGCCTTAAACCCAAAGAGTGCTCTGAAAACTTCGTGCAGTGTCCAAATGGACACAAATTTTAGTGGTCTGAAAACTTAATCCAGTGTCCAAATGGACACAAGTTTTCTCACTCTCTACATGGAACCTTTCAGGAGTGTACATACTTGAAAAGAATAATGTACCTGCACCTTCAGATGATACAAGACATGGGTTGCTGGTGACAACCCATCTTGTATTTTCCCTGTTTCCTCATTTCCTGCACTAGCACGTGCTGTAGATCTCAGAAGGTGTAGGCATGGAAATTTTTAATTACTAAATTGGTTTCTAGTCAGCTGCTCTAAATTGCACGGGGATGTGGAAAAAGGAGAGTTATATATGGGACTATATTGCATTGAAAATAAAGGGATTTAGGAACAGCTGCTGAAAGAAGAATCCTGGTAATCAGAAAAGTATTAAATTGTGAGAGTAGTACAGGGTAATGTCATTTTCTGGGATGGTGGAATTTATTGTTGTGATTCACACGTTTCTAGTCATGATAGATGGGAGCAGAGAATCCTCAAAAGGCTTGTGTCTGTCTTTCCTGGAGAAGGTGTTTTTAGACATGAATTATAGTGCATCATCTGGCTTTGGTAAATAATCTGATGGTGTTTTTAAAAGCAAGTCACAGTAGACCCTGTGTTTCCACATAAAATTGTGTATAAAAAAATTATATGAGGTAGGTTTTATTTGGTTTTATTTGTTTGATTTTTTTTTTTTATACTATGGCATAGAGGTCGAGTTGTCTTTGACCATGAAGAGAAGTTTAAGTTTGTTTTTATTTGTTAATTCAGACTTCTTGTAGGGCATGTGCTAGAAAGCTCATGTATCAAAGCCTTAACTGTGGCTTTAAAGACATTTTGTGTTCATTAATTTTGATAAGTCATAATTTGGACTGGGTAGAAGAGGGCCAGGGGAATTATCTTTTTTTTTCCCCTTGAATATTCTGCTTTACTTGGAATCATGTTATGCAAGGGAGAAAAACAACCAAACAGAACCTGCCTGGTGATGTGTCCTCACAGCTGCTTCTGCAGCTCATAAACACTGCTCAGCAATTCAACACTCAGAGCTGGATGAAGATATCACAAGTGGAATTAATCTCCTCTGGCCTAACTCCATGCTTATGCCAAGTCCCAGTGAGAGGAGCCCATCTAGGCCCAGAGCATCAGTTCTTTACTTCCATTGTGTAGCACTGTGGATTTCTAGCAGTTTGTGAAGGCAAAACCTGATTCTGCATCTTTATCTGAAGTTTCAAAATGCTACAGGCTCAACCATCCTGCCAAAGACATTTCTTTTCTCTGTCTTTCCACTCTGGTGAACTACCTCTTTATTTTTTTATATATTTTTTTTTTTTGAGAGAGACTGGGATCCTGTGCAGATGAATTGCAGGAGGTTTGCTTGATGAAAAGTTAGCACAAGAAAAAAGCTTGTAACTGAGTTCTTTGCCCCAGAAATACGGATCCGTGTCAGACTGTGGGTTTGTGGGGACAGGAAGAAGGGGAGAGCCCCCAGCTGCCACTGCTGCAGTTCCCTGCAGGGCTCCAGGGCTCCCTGCAGCTGGGTGGGACCTGCCCAGCTCAGGGGTGG